CTATCAGTGCATTCAGTCACAGCCTTATATTATAATGTAAAGCTGTACGTAAAACAGTAATTGCAATATTGTAGAAAGAAAAGACCTAGCTTTAGTTGGATCCGAACTAACCACATACATGTGTCAAGCAGTAATGCTTCAATCAGAAGCGGTCTATTTCGTTTTTTATTCAAATAATCAACTGCCTTTGTTGGTTGACAGAGAAAAAAATTATGATTATGAACAATGGACTCTGAATATTCTTTCACCAACCCTCATTTTCTAGGTTTGCTGCTTTTTCACTAGTCATTGCAACATTCAAAAATAGCGAAGCCTCTTCCCATTCATAATGAAAAAGCACTCCCTAATTTTCATACTTATATAGTAGTAATTAGTAAAACAAAGCTTATGACTAATTCTTTCTTAAATTTATGCCATATCGGTTTTAGCAATCAGCGTAACAAGTTTAAAATATTTTATATTACACGTTGTTTAAATAAATAAAATATATACTTCAATTAATATGTATACACACTTTTCAATTATTCAATAACATTAATTTATAATCTAGTTGTATATTAAGTAGGGATGAATTTGTATTTTCAGAAATTTGTTAGTTTTTGTGAAATTTGTCAAAACAACAGTTTTTAACGAAACGGAAGAGATTATAAAATCCATTTTTAACAAACCCGGAGGTGATTATAAAATCCAGTAGTCAGGAAGAACGATGATTAGTGCGTAACTGCGTAATAATGATTATAACTCTTTTGTGAGAAAATGACATTTATAATGTATTATGTATACTATCATATCATATAGTACATTTATTTAGAGACTGTAGAGAGTGAGGCATAATTATAACCTTAGAAGAAATTATTTATCAGTATTCAAGAAACCCACATGGCAACCATGCAAGCGTTTAATTCGTAATTATGACTCGCACCAAATAAATATCTCGTCCTTCGCCATGTTTCTTCTAATTTTTGATTTTTTTATAAAGTTCTTTTTTTTTATAAAGTTCTTGATGGGTGATTCGAGTAATTATTGATTGTTAGATACTATTTTGTATCTTTACGTGAAGCCAACTAAACTTTTTTTTTCCTTTTTTACTTAGCAGTTTTATTAAACTTAAAGTGTTATAGTATCTCTAACGAAACTCTAAATCTTACCCCAAATTTTATTTTAGTGTAAAATTCTTTCCAATCCAACACTATTTCTAACATCAAAATAGTGTAAAAATGAATTTACACCATTTTGATGATGAATTTTTTTATTTATTAAAAGATCTTTCCAATTCTAAATAACTCTAAAATTGATCAGTATAAAGATCAAAAATAATTTAGAGATAAATTTTAGATATACAAAGTAAGTTAGATGAACATATACATTTTTAAAGTTTCTTATTATTTCCGACCAAAAAAAGAAAAGTTTCTTATTATTTCAAAAGTTAACACATTTTGTTGTAGGTACTTAAGATTCTAAGAGAAGTAAAGATCATTTGTAAATTTTAAAAGTAGAGTGTATT